AAATTTGTAGTTTAATCAGTTATTCGCGTTAATTCTAACTTTTTGTAGAAAAGACCTTAAAATTCTTTAACATTAATAAAAAAATCGGTAAGATCTAGTGCATAAGCACCTCTCGCACACACATATATACGACCCTGAATAAAACTGATTCAACTTGCTTAACAGATTTTTTTTTAATTTCAATGATTACAGTGAGATATAATCAAGTAACCTTTGAATAATAGTAGTTAATTTGAAAGTCGTGACTCATGTGTAGTTGTAGGGTTACTACTTTAGACTTCCTCTTTTTTAATGGGACTTTAGAAAATTTGTAGTACATAGTTTAGAAAATTTGTAGTGCATAGTTCCTTATCTTTTTTTCTTTTTTCTTTAAACTTACGTTCCTTATCTAGAAGAAGAGAAGTTTGTACGTCACCAAACACCCCAAAAACTCAAGTTGGGAATATGTGCTTTTGATTATTTAAATAATTATATTTTTCCCATTTAATACTATATTTTTGTTCCTAATCCTCAATTAACTAACTTATACTAGTAATAAAGTTGGAATATTATAACAGCAATGCTGTAATAATTATATATTTATATTTATGTGGATATAAGCTACTAATCTGACATGAACTTCCGTTGGTGATTGGTTGCATTTCGCCAACAATTTCTATCATAGTTGAAATATATTTAAAAAACGAATGAAAGACACTAATAAGAAAGAATTGGCCGTTCAAGTACAAAAGTGGAATCCGATTATCCACCGAAATTGCAATTAAAATATTGGAGAGATTTGTTTTAGAAAAAGAAGTTGGCATGCTATGTTTTATAATAATTATTTGCATAGAATAAAAATTTGTGGAGCATTTCGAATCCAAGTGGCCTTGCCTTATACGAAACTGGCCCTTTTGTAAAGCAAACAACATGCGAAATGGATATTGCTTAAATAATAACAGAATTACATGTTTCGCATTTTTGATAATCTTGTTTTAAGAAACCCTTTAGTGATCATTAAATTTGCTTCTAATTAGTGAACTCTTTAAGTTTGATATGAAAAATCATAACTTCAAATGGTTTGTAACACCTCAATCATTATGGTCTAACATCTTTTTGATTCATTTCTTACTTGCATCCCATTTTCGTGTCTCATGGTACGTCAACAGTTAACTAAATGAAATTAATCGGATATTTTAATGTTCAGAAGCCAACAACTATTTAACTTGTTCATATCATCCAGATTTTTTGTGTGAACCCGAACGTTCAGTTTATTCATGTCCGTGCAGAAATAATTGTACCCTCTACTGTTAATAGGTGCAAGTGGAAGCTGACGAACGTGGGACATAAAGAAATTATACAATACTAATATTTTCTCAAGTTTATAATGATTAATGGAATGCCAGTGAACAATATGGCCCCCTCTTATCCCTTGGTGCTTTTTATTGTTTATTTTTTGGTATATATGTTTGTTAAAAAAATTAGTAATAAACTTTTAATCTATTATAGAAAAGAGGTAAAAACTTTGTCT